CCATACCTCTGCCGGAGGTGAGTACTGCCGAGCCTGCCGAGCCCAGTACTGTCCCTGAGGGAGGGCAGACCCCTACTCTTGGACCCGCTGCAAGGGATGGTAGCGTACCTGACCCACTCGAGAGTGAGTCAAGCCGAGTGCCCCCAATTCAAAAGTGCCCTGAACCTCCTACGCCACGGAGGTCTCAGCGAGTTCGCAGAGTGCCCACCTATCTAAGCGAATATGACTGTACATAATGTTTTTGCTTAGGGGGGAGGGATTTGTTATGTATTGCATTATATATAACTGCTATGTGAATGTAAATACTGATATGTGAATCGCCTGATTGAGATGCCATGTTGAGCTTCATCCTGGGCTAGGATCCTAATGTAACCAATAGGAGCCCTAGCCCAGAGAGTGTCTACCAATCACGCTGTAAAGCGGGACCGCTTGTGATTGGACGTTATATCTTCAACCTCATAGGTTGTTATTTGTACAGGGGGTGTGGCTACACTAGCCGGGAATGTTTAAATACAGAGCAGCCAGTGTATGTGTTGGTTCGAATGATGGTTCTGGCTGGCGATCGTTGTACCGTGTTCGGAGTAGTAACAGAGCTGAAGAATAAACCGCATTCTTGCTGAATCACTCTCCGACTTCTTTGTTAAGCGCACGACTTAACACACCCCATATGGTCTGACCCCCATCAAGACCGGCGTCTGATGCATCTGCATGCAAGGAAGAGTCTGGCCCGTGGATGTTTCCCACCCTTGGCATGGCTGCTCCGGGCTCCTGGGCGTGTCTCCCTTAACCAGGGGCTCCTCACCCCACTGAGTCAGTCACAGAAGCCAGTATTAGGCCTACTCCCTCTGGGGCCACCCCTGGATGATCTTGCCTTCACTTGTCATTTCACTGTGATCTTGGACTGGAAGGGGAGAAGATCCCACCACAAGAAGCCTTCTGTGGAACCTCACCCGCGACACAGAACAGATACAGGAGATCACTGGATCCTGCAGGCAAAGCTAAGGCAAGATCTAACGAACTGGACCTCAGGATCTACTAGGCCAGTGGCTCTCAACCTTCCTAATGCCGTGACCCTTTAATACAGTTCCTCATGTTGTGGTGACCCCCAACCATAAAATTATTTTCGTTGATACTTCATAACTGTAATTTTGCTACTGTTATGAATCGTAATGTAAATATCTGATATGCAGGATGCAATCCCCCGCCACGATTTGGCGAGACTTGGGAGCCCTATCCTAAGACCATCGAAAATTTGTGTTTTCCAATGGTCTTAGGCGACCCCTGTGAAAGGGTCGTTCGACCCACAAAGGGGTCGCGACCCACAGGTTGAGAACCGCTGTACTAGGCCAACTGACAGGCCTTTGTGCCTTCCGGAAGAAATAACTTTTTCTAGGCCAGGTCTGTTGTCATCATCACTACGTGGCTCTGCGCCTTTCCTCGCCCTTCGCGCTCTCACTAAGGTGCCCTTTCCTGGCCCCCAAAATGCTGCTCCCCACCGAAGAGAAATGTGACCAGAATGAGTCTCGAAATAGCAAACAGCCTGCTTGCCTGTGGGGAGGGCAGGTTATAAATACAACAAACAAACAAACAAATAAGCAAACAGCACACCAGGCTTGTAGTGGGCGGCACAATTAAGGGCAAGGTCCCGGAGGCAAATGTTTATTGGCTTATTTAAAAATGGTTTCGTGTGCGTGGGTGTGTGTGTGACCTGAACCTTCAATTTGGGGGGGAGGGGATCTGAGAAAAAAAGAATACAGGGAAAAGTTTTAATCTGAAAGCAGAACCCCAAGAATACTTGCTGCTAGGCGAAGGGGTGTGTGTGTCGTTTTGGGCAGAAGTGGGGAAAGGAGAGGCCAGGCGTGTCATCAGGCGCAGGAGGATATGCGGCCCGAGTGGGCGGGGGGGGCTGCCTGAGGAGGGCCCCTCCGCCGCCGCCCCCCCCAGGCCGGGAGAGCTGCAGAAGGGGAGGGTCGGCCAGCCTGCAGTGCAGGGGGACCGCTGGAAGGAAGAGGCATCCCCCCCCCCCGCTCGCCTGGGACGAGAGCGTGCGTGGCCTTTGCTTCGGCTGGGGGCTGCAGAGGGACCCCCGCTCCCCCGCCCTCAGGCCTCGTGCCCGTTGGCAGTCCTGTTCACCCAGACGGGCCCCGAGAGGGGTGGCTGCAGCC